ACACCAACTTGAAACTTTTGAATTTCTTATAGTTGTTAGTATTGTGGACTTCGTGCTCTTGGTCAGGAATCTTGTCGTACTAAGCACTTTGTGAATTACCACCTTGGTAATAAACTCTTAAAAACCTTGCATTCTAACCTTGTTGCAGAAAACTAATAGAAAAAAACCATTGCTGGTTGCATTTGAAGCAATCTGTTTTCTTTCATTAATTATTTTTAGAAATGTTGACTTGTCTGCTGTACCTTCCCCTTCTATTTGGCAGAATGTGGATCTGGCAACAGGCTGACTGTTTTATTTGAGAGAAATGCTACTTTTTCATTTGTTTCTGCTCAGCAACTCAGCACTGTTTGTTTGTTTTTTTTTTAAGTCACAAAGGAGTGTAGCTGTGGTGCTGTGCAGGCTTTTTGCCTCACTGGTGGCTTTGGAAAATAGAAAATAAGGGAAGTGATTGTCACTGATTGTCCCTTCCTTCTGCAGCCTGTTGCACCCGTCTCTGCTCTGAGGAACCAGGGAACCATTTGGAAGAACACAAAGGGTCAAAAGAAGGGAAAAATCACATACATCCCCTTTATGTCAATAGAAGCCTCTACTAGAGCAATGAGTTTCTTGTCAGTAGAAGCACTTCAATAATTCCTTCTTTAAGAGAAATAAAGCCACGTTGTCTGTTCCAGACTTGTGAGTGACTTCCTTCTCTCCTCTGTTCCACTCCCACAAACACACATGCTCATACCTAGGAAACTGATAGCATAATGTCTACACGTCTATTCAGAAGTAAGTTCTGTTGCCTTCAAGAACTTTTACTCCCAGTTAAACAGTTAACAGATTGTAGCCCAGCAGTGACACTGAGAAGTGTCTTTAAAATCCCATGAGTCACACAGTCTTAGATGACGAGGCAGGTTGAAGGACCAAGAAAGAAAAGTGGTAAGAGGTGTGCTTTAGATATAGCAATGCAAAGGGGAGTTCTGAATTGTTTGAGATTTGGAGGATTTGTAGCATGCTTTTCGTTGGATGGGGCAAGTGGAACATGACAGGGACCTAAGAGGAAGGGGAATTACCAAAGAGCGCAGTGGTGGTGTATTAGCAACCAGAATAGAGGAGCACGATTCAACTTCATTTCGGTAGAAAACCGGCATCAGACGCAAAGGACATGTCTGCATCCTCTCCCCAGTGTAGTGGGCAAGTCCTCTCCATAGTGCACATTTCCTTCACAGGGTGTTTTTGTGATTAAATTCCAGTGGGGGACAAATAGACATGTACAAACATAGGGCCACATGTGCATGTTCACGGTCAGCAGGTACAATGCCTTGTTGCACTCCTCTGTTGAGGGAGAAGGAAAGGAAGAAGATCAGTCTGTGACTGGTAGAAGTGGAAATTCAGGAGAACCTTTGCTTGTCTGCCTCTTCCCCCTCCCCTGAAGGATAAAGACCATCCGCAGACTGCTGTGAAACCACCCACATTTTCTCTTGCAGTAACCAACCACCAGCACAGGTACACAAATGAGCACACAGTTACCTCATGGGGGAGTGTGTCTGGCAACAGCCCACATGATCTAAAGCATTGCCTACTTCTCATGCACCTCCCACTCAATACCTTGCAGTGTAGCACAGAACAGCAGAGTAAGTTCTTGGAAAACAGCATGATGTTCACTGCCAATCAGACACCGAGCAGCAATTCCGCCTGAAACTAAAACAGGCACAGTAATGCCCCAGGAACAAAAGATTTCTCTCTGTAGTCAGTCCTTAAGTTTAGAAGTAATACGTTCTTCCCATTGCAAGGCAGCAATTAAAAAAAATAAAATAAAATCTGGTTCTTTTTAAATGGGGCACCTATATCATCATCTTATGTGGGAGATTTGTCCAATAGATTCCCACTGTTAAGTAGGAACATTCAGTGCCACTCTTTCACCTTCAGTCTTCTGAAATAAACTCTGAGAACTGATTATCCCCCTAAAGGGTTTCTTCAATGTAGAGTGCATTGCTAGAATGAAAAATGCACATTTCCTCTCAAAACAGCCAGAAGCAGGGTTGTATTCCTTCCTGCTTCTGCTCACTGCTTTCCTACAAAATCTGTCTGGATTTGTATTGCAATTTTATCTTCTGCACAGGTTTTTCTTGCTATATTTTCTATGACAGGACATGGATGTTACTTTCCCTTTGAAAGTACTGAATTTTCCTTGAGAAAAGTTTTAATCCAAGCATGTCACAGCTCATCATCTTTTGGCAGAAAGCTACTAGCCCTCAAACATCATTACTAGCTCCATCAACATGTGCATACTAATGTAAATCTTTTGTGGCACATCAACAGCGCCTGATGGAAATGGTAACTTCTTGTTTCCCAAGGTGGGCAGGCAGGGGCTACTAAGCCCCCTCTCATAAAAGATATCCAATTTTTATATAAGTGCAATCTATTTTGCATTTTTATGGTGCTTTTCCAGACTTCTGCATGATATCCAGTATGAAATCCCCATGCTGAAAAATTAAGTTATGGTATATATTATGGATAATTTTCTTTTATATACTTCAACTCTACTTCAAAATAAATTCTATTCTGACTCAATTTATTTCCCCGTCTAACCTTAAGCATTATTTAAAATGGTCTGCAAAGACCGTGATCTGGCAAGTGAAATACAAATCTCCATCAACAGCCACATGTAGCTGCCCATCCGAATCCTCGTAAATGGCTTCCGCTCACGTCCTGCCTTTGGCCATGGCTCTAGCCTCAGTTGCTAGATAATCAACATGTTACTATCGCACGAATGAACCTGTAACAAACATACCGCAATTCCACATATTTACCATAAGAACATTCTGATCTAAAGTCTACCTATGCCAAAGAATTGTTTTGTAGAACCTGCTTATTGACCTGTTTATAAATAGTATTGATGTATTGTACCCACCCGCATTTCTTTGTTGTCTTTAAGTTTAAATGGAAATATTTATTAAGCACATTGCCCTAATAGCAATAATATGATCAAAGTGGGAAAATATTCTGGTAGTTTAGAAGGCTTCTATGAAAATTCATGACTACTTCCTGGTTTTAACTCTTATGGCCATGCTAGTTCATGCCTTAGGATGTTTGCCAGAATTCGATTTTTGAATTTTTTCCTCTTTCCTTTTCTGAGCATAAACTTGTCTTATGATAAGAAAGATCAATTTTACAAAAACGGTGAACAATTTGTAACAAGTTTCTTTTAACTGAGTTAAAGATGTGTGGATAGGGTCATTATATAGTTTAAGCATAAGTTGCCAGTGGGCTTAGTTGAATCTGGGTGGCATTTCCTGCAAATGTTCTATCCTTGCTTAAAGCGTTCTTTTTCTGTCTTTCTGACTGGTGTGTCCTCACAGTCTTCCACTACAGCAATCTTGTCGCATGGTCTTGGGGCTCATGTTAATGATTATAGATATCACATTTATTGCTTCCTTTTTGTATGCAGGTTTGCCATTTTAGGTCTTTCCTTGGGCTCCCACATGGTCTCAACAGCAGCCAATTCTTACAGAATTATAGAATCCTAGGAACAGACACTATTATAAAATCACAGCTACGTAGCCATTGCATTTTTCCTTATGTCCCTGTGTTGGGACACTATTGTGAAGGATAGCTGTGCCTTTACTCTCACTGATTGCCATTGCTTTCTTCTGGATTGATGGGCTCACAACTGCTATTTCTACTGCAAAGTAATGGTCCATAAAATAGATTGATCACTATTTTATAATAGATACTACAATTGTGGGACACATAATCTGGATTGGCCCTATATCAGGGTGGAGGGCATGATCCAGATTGGGTCTCCATGTTTATGCTAGAGTAACATATGTAGAGTAACATTTAAAGTGACATCTGGTTTGACCCTTAGTCTGTTTAACCCATTTATTTAGATATGTCACATTTCTTGAAGTGATCCCATAGCATGATCCTTTCCTGTTCTGACTATGCTGATTCATAATTTGTTAAACAATTATCACCTTGCTATTTTCTCTAGAAACACTGAGGCAATGAGATGTTTGTGTGTTTATATTCTCAACATTTGTTTTTGCAAGTTCATCCTGCAGCCTAACATGGCTTGGGCTCCCTCACCTTTTTAAAATCATCTTGTTGTGATAGCTTGGATCTAAATGTAGTCATACTTAGGGTAAACCCACTGAAATAATCAAAATATAAGTAAGCCATGGATTATTTTGCAATAATTTCAGCAGAACTTGACTAGACACGACTTAAGTCTAGGTCCAGCCAAAAGGGCTAGATCTATATTTAGCTATACCTCAGTTCTAGATGAAGTCTGGCTCCAAAAGAATATGTTGAACATCCTTCTAACTCTTTTTATTTCTTTTGGCAGAATTTGCGTAAGTCTCATTGATTTCAGTAAGGAACTTAAAACCATATGAATTGAAATCAGCAAGTCTTACAAGTACTTAACTTTGGGTGGATTGTACTTTTTATGCATTCATGCTGATTCTAGCAGTGATTGCTCTTCTTTACCCACTTCTATTTCCTGTAGCTTCTCTTTTTGGATGTTGCATTATTGATAGACCTTAATGTGCTTCCTGCTTTTAGTTAAGGAACTGCTTGTCTCAGAATAAAGACATTTCTCCACAAGTCATTTAGGGAGTTACCAGTCGCTACCCAAGGTTGTCTATGGACTGTTTAGTTTTCACTGTGTCCCTCCAGTTTTGCATCTGAGCACATTTGGTAAGATTTTTAGAGCAGTAAAAATGGGGCATTTTGTTGTGAAAGTGGATATCACTGCTTTTTTCACTTGTGTATTTGTGCTGTTCTGTTGTACCACACTGCCACCTAAAGTTTATGTAGCTGGAAAGCAGGGACGGAAACGTGGTTTGTGAAGTAGTCAGAACCCAGTTCTGCAACAAAACCAAAAGTAAATACAGCTGATGATCAGCCTGAGTAGAAAAACTCTGTGCGATCATGTTGAAAAGTGACGTGTGTGTGTTTTTATAATTTCACCTTGTTAACACCCTCCTTGTTCACTGTCTGTTTCTCTGCAGGGTACATACCCAGTTACTTAGACAAGGACGAGCTATGTGTCGTGTGTGGTGACAAAGCCACTGGGTATCATTACCGCTGCATCACTTGTGAAGGTTGCAAGGTAATTAATAGCCAGCACAAGAGACCGGGAAATGGAAATCGTAAGCCAGTTTCATTTTCCGGCTGCTGTCTGTTTATGCATATGGCATCAGTGGACATGCCACTTAGGAAACAACATCTGTTACATGTATTAGTAATATAAGAATACTAATGGGTTTTTTCTTTGTAATAGAAGTTAATTTTGTTGAGGCTGAAATGAAAAGGAAAAAAATTAAGGATTTTTTTTTAGTTAATAGTTCTTTTGAGAGCTTTTTATGTGTGCATATTTTAAAACTGTTAGGGCAAAGCGTTGCAAAATGGATCCATTGATCTCCTGTTGTTTACCCAAGAAGTTTAAATCTGCTGATTGAAATAGTGTTTTGCTCACCACCACTGTCATTACTCGTCCAAGTGTCATGGACAAGTAATGACAGTTTATTGTGCAGTAACTACATTATCACCCTCTGCAATTCTATATAGATTTTTAAGGTTTTCTATGTAGATTTTAAGACTGGCATTGCCCTCTTGTACAATTGCAGCATGATGGTGCTTATCCAATGGAAAAAGTGGCACATCTGCCACAGCTTGTACCCTAATATATTGTGAACTTTTCCTTTTCAAAAGTCCTTGTCCTACCTGTCCTGCACATAGCAGACTACTGGGTGTTTTTTCCCCATGTTGACAATTAGATGTGTAGTGATAGGATCTGTCCCTAAGCAGCTGTTCAGTTGAAACATACTAGTTGTACATTTGAAAGGGCAGTAACTGCAGAAATGTTGCCGAAGGTAAAGTAAGAATTCCAGTAGCCCAGAAATTTGAGGTCTCCAACATGATGCCTAGGGCTGAAATTTGCCTGTCTACACCTTTCTCAGCCCTTGTCAAGCTTCCTGAACCTCCTGGACTTTTCTTAACTTGTTAAGACTTGTTTATTTTTTAGCAGGGAAGCTGGTATGCTGCAAAATAAAATGGTACCCCACCAGTGCCATCTCTATTTAGATTCCAAAGATTGATTTTGTGTTTTGGAGCTCAGAGCATACCTCTACCTTATATTTACATTCTTGAACAAGTTCTCACCAGTTTGTTTTCTGAGAAAGTTTTTCTGACCATCATGGTCGATATTTTCTGAATGGGCAAGATCATGACAGCCACTTTGTATGGGTGCTCACATTTTTTTATTTCAAAATTTGTATACCAAGCAAAAGAAATTGGAGAGTTTTGCCATAAAGTCTCCTGTGCAGTTGTAGCCTACAAAAACAAGATAGCTGTGATCTCTCTGAGGTTAGGAAAGTGAGGAATGTGTGATAGCATGCTGAAAATCCATGTGAGGACAGAATCCATAAGGTAAACACACATTTTGCATTACAGCAGATGCCACTGTCAGCTCTTCTCCCTAGATATGAATTGGACTTTGGAATCTGGAAAAATAATGCAAAAGAGTGAAGGCCAAATTAGCCTTGCACAAGGGGAGAAGGCACCAATTTAAGAACAAGGGGTTCTTAGGTGCACTAGAATATATCTTATTCAGGTCAATACATTTCAGGAATTCCTTTCTAACAGAACCTTAAAGAGCACTGAAGGTTGGATTCCGATTTAGTCATACTAGAGCAGACAGTGGGATTACTGTAGGTATGACTGAATCTGGATTCAACCCTGAGAATCACAGTGCCCATGATGAAACTTTTGAACAAAGTTACTGAGTTTGAATGGCTCACACTTTAGAAGTTCCCACTTCCTATTTTAGCTCTGCACATGGCCACAATTATTTGAGAAAGAGAAATATTTCCAGAATCTCATTGAGTCTGTAATCCCCATTCTGAATACTGGTGGTGGGTTGGAGACCTGGCTTCAGTGCATCAGTGCTCTCAACAGCCAAGTTTTGCTGCTGGCTTCCCAGAGCTGGACCCTGATGGAAATGTGTGGGACCATTTCTAACTGCATCTGTACAGGTTACTGGGTTTAAAAGATCTGTCTACAGAGAGAGGAGGGGCTCTGCTTGCAGAAGGTCCACCCCCTCCCCATTTGGGGAAATCTCCCCATTCCCAATATTGCAACTTACCCCATTCAGTAGGGTCTCTTCTCTATAACATTTTCAGGGGGCTGAACGGACCACCAGGACAAGGAAAGGCATCCAGCATAGAGGATGCAGCATAAATCTGGATGATTCAGCCCCTTGAGAAATAGAGAGGCAACTTCATGAGTTTTAGGGCATAGGCGGGAATTCTGCCTAAAACTAACATTTTCAAAAGACAGTGCATCCTTATTAAGTATCCATCATGCTACTTATGCAGAACTTGACTCTTGGAGGCACCCTTGCTGCACTTGACAGAATTGACATCTGGGTTTGCTGGGGATGGACGTGAATTTCAGTCAAATTGCAGCCAGAGGAAGATAAGCAAAGAAGCTGCCATCCTGGACCTACACCTCATATTCCTCCCTGCCTGTACATTAAACAATCAATTATAATGTCTTGCATGTTTCAGAAGGTGGGGAATTCTGTTGCTATCTTGCATTTTTCCCTCATAGGGTTTTTTCCGACGAACTATTCAGAAAAATCTTCACCCAACTTATTCCTGTAAATATGAAGGAAAATGTGTGATAGACAAAGTCACAAGAAACCAGTGCCAGGAATGTCGCTTCAAGAAATGCATCTATGTTGGCATGGCAACAGATTGTAAGCTGCTTCTTTATTTTATTGTGCTGTTTGTTTTCATTAGGTATGTTTATTTCACTGCAATGTCATAATCATTACTTTTTCCCCATTTTTAGCCATTACTATCTATGCTAGTCAAGATTATTGGTTGTTGTACCCAACTAATTTTTCCACCAAGCTTCCAGTGTCTATTTACTCTTGCAAAGGCTGAGTTTTCTTATGACCCCAGCCATTTCGAGTGATATTAAGGGGATGAACAATTTCTAGCACAGGAGTGGGAGTGTTTTTTAGAGTGGTGTCTTGCAGGGGGGAAAATTATTATGCCTCAAGATTTGGAAGAATGGGACCTTGGATGCTGTTGTTGCATGAGTCATCCTGCAGTTGTTTGTTTTATTTTTAGCCAGAAAGAGAGGCGCCTCACTCCACTTCGAAGGAGCCAGAGCATATGGCTGCAATGTTAACTCTTAGTGCTCTTGTTCTCCTAAGAGCTCTCGAGAGACTTAAAAGCTTCCACTATTATTGATTAGTGGAAATGAGAGAAACTCAAAACAGAAACATACATTCAAAGTGGTTGTGCTTATGGGTGTTCCTAGAGTAAGGTGGCAGTGGGGACTCTAGTGAGCTGTCCTTTTTTAAAAATGAGAAAAATAAAGGCCATAATCCAAGGAACTGCTTGACCCCACACCCAGTATTTTTTTTTACTTGAAATACAGCTAGTTTCTTTTTACCAGAAAGATTTAGCTCCTGGAGGAGAAGGCTATCAATGGGTATCAGTCCAGTGACATGCATCACTGAGAAACATGAGCAGAAAGGTGCACAAGGTCTCCTCGTGGGCTTCCCACAGTTACAATGATGATGATGACGACATTATGTTTATAGTCTGCCTTCCTTCCCAAGGGGAACTCAAGACCACTTACAAGGTTCTCCTCCTCTCTGTCCTCACAACTATAACCTTGTGATGTAGGTTAGGCTGAGATCCTGTGACTGGTCCAGAGTGACCTCGTGAGCTTATCACAAACTGCTTTCAAAATTCTTCTTGATTCCAAATGCAGAGTCCTAAAGGAGACTGTTTTTGATGAACCAAAGCACAGAAATAGTTCCTTGAATCCCTGTCACTTCTTGAATCCTGACTATCCCAACCTCTTCTAACCCCACCCATTTCTGTAGTGAATGCTCTTAATTATGGTTGACCCTCAGTTTTCCAGAATTATTTATTAACATCAGTCAAATGGTTACTAGCAACCCAGTGTTTTAGACTTCCACTCACATAATCCTAGACTAATGCCCATGCTAACTGAGGCTGATGAGTATTATCTAGAGGGCACTGAGTTCTCTAACCAGTCTATGAACCACATAGACTAATCTATGAACCAGTCAGAGAACTACAACAATTAGTGTACCTTCATCTGATTATAGCCTCTGAAAACTTGAACTGCATAAACAGAACAATTTCAGCTCTGCCAGCATCAGTTGTAGTTAAACCCAGCTCAGACTACAACTTTCCCAAATGGATCTATTTGGAGAAGTCAGGTGAAAATTATTCACTCTCTCTAGGGAACAAGGCAAGTGAAAAATATTGTTGGAGGAGCAATGTTTGATTACTAGGTGAAGTTTCGGATGCATTTTCCCCCATAGCTGCCACACATTCAGCTGCTGTGTGAAGGGGCTCTAATGGCCTAGTGAGGGGGCATCCTTGGCTAATGAGGATTTCCCCATAAGTAATGTGTGCATAGGTCTAAACACAGCTGCTGAACGTGTAGCCAGAATGGGGGTGTGGCTAGCTGGCATGGCCTCATGCATGTTCTCAGTGAAGGAAGAAAGTTCATTTGTTTTCCTTCAATCTTCTGTTTTCTCAAGTACACAATAGGAAGATTAGTGTAAATGCACTGGAGAGCCAGTTTTTCTGGAGAAAAGAGAACTGTGTGCTCTAGCTTTCTCAGCCATATTTTTTGATCTTGGAGAAGTCTGATTTATTTTCCTACATCATGATCCTACAGGGACTTGTAATATGCATGCTTCTTTGTGTAAAGAATAGGTTCTTTGTTGATTCTCACTAAATTCACAGTTCTGTAAAATGCTCCCATCCATTTCAGTGATTAGATTTGAGAGGGCTTGCTTAACTGTACATGGGAAAGTGACCTATAGATGTTGCGCTGGTTAATCAAACAGCTTCTTGCTGGCTCCCAAAACAGATAACCCTAATCCCAAAAACATACTACACAGTTCCAAGAAGTGTTTGCAATCTGTTTTTCCATAACATGTTCTTTCCTTGTTAGTGGTGTTGGATGACAGCAAGCGGCTAGCAAAAAGAAAATTGATAGAAGAAAACCGAGAGAAGAGACGTCGGGAAGAGTTGCAGAAAACAATTGGGATGAAACCTGAACCAACAGATGAAGAGTGGGAGCTTATTAAAATTGTTACTGAAGCACATGTGGCCACCAATGCACAAGGAAGCCACTGGAAACAGAAAAGGAAATTTCTGGTAGGTACTGCAGCCATAGAGAACTGCATTTCCTAAGCTGGTACCCTCCAAATGTCATGGATGAGAACTCCCATCATGCTAGCTTGGACTGATGGACACCTACATGGGGAAAGCCAGTGGAAGAAAAGCATCAATCTTCAAAGAATTTAGCTTTGATGTTTCTATGTAATTCAGAAGCTTGTAGGATTCCAGATGTGGTTCAACTGCAACTCATATCATCTTTCACCACTGGTTGTCCTGTCTAGGTTGCTAGGAATTGTAGTCCATAAACATTTGGCTGCCCACCTCTGGTGCAAATTAGGCAACTAAAGAACTGAGCAGAACAGAAGAACCAAACCAAACATCCACTTGCCCCTTGCTTTCCTTCTGTAATGCCCAACTAGATGCTTCTGGGAAGCACACAATCAAGAACAAAGGACAAATGTCCTCTTGACTGTTAGTTCCTCAGCAACTGGGAGTAGGTGGCACACTACCTGTGAACCTGGGGATTCCATTCATTTGTCTTATCCTACATACATTTTCCACTTCTTGGTAATGCCATCAGAGGTAGAGGATAAAACCACATGACAGTGAGTTCCACATAAGAAACTGCAGTGCACTCCTTCATTTGGATAAAGGTTGTTTCACGTGTTGTGCAATGAGAAGTGTGTGTGAGTGTGTGTGTGTGTGTGTGTGTGTCAGAGAGGACAAAGTAAGGACACAAGAGCATATGGGTGCAAAATTGTCTTTTACATGTAGGGTTCAATCCAAATGTACACTGGATCCACTGCACTGACAGAAGTGGATTTCCCTGCCATTTCTTCCTATGACAGCTCTCCTGGCCCCTTAAAATGTTACAGGCACCATCAAAAGACCTCCTGTAACTTGAGCCTGTTATTCTGTGTCCTGCATTCAGGGGTGATAGAGAAGAGATCCTGGAATGATGGGACTTGTAGGCCAAAACATCCAGAGGGCCACAAGTTGAGCACCCCAGACAACAACAGCACAGACAAAAATGTAATCACAAAAAACCACAAAGTATAGTAACTTTTTAAATACAGTAAAAGTCATAAAGTCCAGTCTTATAACTAAGTAAATGTTGTGAGGACTTTACTTTCCTTCAGAGGATGAGAAATATTCCCAGGGGATGATACAGAGAGCATTAGCTTTAGATTTCTAAGTATAAGCAACTAACTGCTTCTGCAAGAATATATCTGTGGATGAAAGCAAGTAGCAACAAGTGCAAAATACTCAGCTATCTCAAATGAACGCTGGCATGTCAGAAATCTATGTATATAAGCATTTATCTTATGCAACTGTTTCTTATGAGTGTACTCTTGAAAAGGAAATTTTACTAAATAATACAACATTTACTGAAACCTGGAACCTTCCAGATGGGCTGAACTACAACTCCCATCAAACCCATCCAGCATGGATTATGCAGGCTGTGGCTGATGGGGACTGTTGGGGAAGCCTGGCTTAAACAAACTTAAGCTGCAGCATTCTGCAAAAATTTAAGAAGGTTCCATGACTACTGTAAATAAATTGTCTCCTTACAATGTTTTTCTTTTCTGTTGTTAGCCAGAGGATATTGGACAAGCACCAATAGTAAATGCCCCAGAAGGCGGGAAAGTAGATTTAGAAGCCTTCAGCCAGTTTACAAAAATTATCACACCAGCAATCACAAGAGTGGTGGATTTTGCCAAAAAGTTGCCTATGTTCTGTGAGGTATGGATGTCTTTCCTCTTGAACTTTCCTTTCTTTCTAATAGCTCTTTTGCATAGAAATGTGAGATTTGCTTTCCCCAAAGGTTTAATATAACAACATGAGTTGATGCAAAAGACCGAACCAAATCTAGATTTGGTTCAATCTAGATAAAGTCACACTTAGAGTGCACCCATTGAAATCCATAGGAACTGAGTTAGTTTATTGTTAGGATTCAGATTTAGGAGTGTGCAACTGGCTTTCCTTCCTGTGTGCTGGGGATCACAGGATGCTGCTGAATGGAGGAGGCTGTGGCACAGGGAAAAGGAAGTATCCCACAGAATTGGGCGGCTATGTATCCTTTTTACCCAGTCTCCACAGCATAGCCTACTTGATTCAGCTGGACTTCCAACCCTCTGTGTTGCATTGCTGAGCTCTGTGAAGTCTGCTTTCAGCAGAAACTGATAGGAAAGATGTCTTCTGCCAGCTCAGTTCAGGCCTAAACCTCCAAACATTGGCTAGGTTCACATAATATTACAACCCATCACAAGTGAGAGACTAGGCTGGCTTGGTTTTCATGCAAATCTAGAATTATTACAGGGGGGCTTATAAGTGGGCAGCAAACCACCCTGGCAACCCATGGCTTGTTGTTGGCATTCTTGGACTCATGATGGCTTGTTGTGGTGTTCATACTTAGGCAACAGTCCCCATTGTGGGTTGCAGGAAGTGGGAAGTGAGACTCTCAGCAAGAGCAGCAAAGCCCCTCTGTTATTCCTGCCAAGCTAGCCCAGTCCACGGCCAGTGCCAACCATCCCACTGATGCCCAAGCATCGCTTCTTTTAAAAATGAGACCTGGGTTCTAGCCCCCACTCAGCCATGAAGCTCACTTTGGGTCAATCACAGACTCTCAGCCTAACCTACCTTTCAGGGCTGTTGTGAGGATAAGATGGAGAGGCACTTTGTAAGCCACCTTGGGCTTCCTGCAAGGGGAAGAAAGGCAGAGTATAAATGGAATATAAGAACAATCCCCTGTGACTCCTGTCTTGTGTGTACTGTTCAGCCTGACATAGTTGAATCTGGCTGAATAGGATCCGTCAGTGCCCCTATGAATCAAACACTCCACAACTAGACCTGGCAACTTTTGGTCAGGGGGCGGGAGGAGACAATACGATAGTGTCAAATTTCCTTTGCAGCTGATGACATTTTAAAAACACTTTCTGCCTTGAAGCTTTGCTTTCAGTTCTGCTAAGCCAAGTTTCCATTGCCCAACTCAAAATGTTTTTTGTCCAGATTACATGTAATCACTTTGTCAGTACTATAAATAAGATGATTCATTCTCTCCCTCTCACTCTCACTCTCACTCTCACTCTCACTCTCTCTCTCTCTTTCTCTCTCTCTCTCTTACACACACACACACAGAGAGAGAGAGCACTAAAATGAAATAAGTTGTAGCAAATGGACATTTTTGTTTCAGTAGCTACCTTACCTTTTGGGCTCAGCGCAGTAACTGTTCTTGTATTCATTAAAAAAGATGGCCTCCTGCCTTGAAACACCTCCTTTGACATTGGTCAATGAGCTTCAGGAAGCAGTTGAGAGAAGGATTTAATAACATAAATTATTAGCAGTGTTGATAATTTGTGTCTGGGATCAGGTATAAATAACTCAGAGGTAAGTCTCATTGAGTTTAATGGGGCTTCTTTCAAGAAAGTGAGTCTATGCTTGCAGCCTTAAAATGTTAAATCAAAATAAGTCAATTTGGATCCAGGTTTCTACTGGATCAATTATGCTTCTGGAAGTGAGCTTCACCATGGCTTCTTTTTCACAGCAGCCCCTCCATGAAAATGCTGTACCCCATAAGCAGAAGTCACAGCAACAACAACTTGTCCGAGACAGATCAGTATTGAAAAAACAAAACAAATTTGTGAGGGCAGCATTAAGTAGGACCATGTACACACCCTGCTGTTTGAAGGTGACTTGCAACTGGCATTGTCAAGAAGGTATTCTCAAGGAAGGCCTCAGCCTATAAATATGTGTATAAATAAATGAATAAGAGATCCTAGCGGTCACAACAATATGAAAAGTCGAAATGAATGAAACTATGTAATGGGAGGGTCATTGTTATCCTCCCTCTTGGTTAGTTGCAGGAAAGCTGTTTCTCACGTGCCTTTCTTTGCAGCTGCCATGCGAAGACCAGATAATCCTTCTGAAAGGCTGCTGCATGGAGATCATGTCCCTCAGAGCAGCAGTGCGCTATGACCCCGAGAGTGAAACTTTGACACTAAATGGGGAGATGGCAGTGACGCGGGGCCAACTGAAAAATGGGGGACTTGGAGTCGTATCAGATGCCATTTTTGACCTGGGCATGTCACTGTCGTCATTCAACCTCGATGACACGGAAGTTGCCCTCCTTCAGGCCGTATTGCTGATGTCTTCAGGTGAGCATGAACATTTTTTAGGCGCTGCAGTCTTAGTTATTAGCCATCAACCTGTCCGGCACTCTGTGATCATTTTAGGAAATCCATTATAACCCATCTAGAGCTTGCTCGATCCAACTGCAGAAAGAATTACAATTGCTTCCAAAATGGAAAACAGCAGAATACCCAATGATTGAATTAGAAAAATAAGTTGGCTTAGTATGCAGTGATGGCAATACTAACTAATTATGTAAACAGAAGACTGATTGAAGAATTTAATGATAAATGGAAATTCTATTATACACTGTTTTAATTAATATAGAAAAAGGGAAGCTTTTTAAAATACTGCTAATGATTTATAATTGATTTAAAGTGATTGGAAAAATTGTTGGTTTAGAGAACTATAATTATTTTCTCTGCGAGCTTCAACAAAGTACTAATTGACTGAAAGATAGAAATTCTCAGGTTTTGGGGGAATCTGCAGGTTATAAATGTATATGTTATATCTGTGGAAGATCCTTTGGCATTCTTGTTTTACTTTTACATTTTTCTTCCTGTTTATACTTTATTTCTTTTAAGAAAACAAGGAAAATATTTTTAAAAATAGAACTTGCTCGATCAAAGATCTTGGACAGCTCCAAGAAAATGTCAGCCAGATGTGCCTGCTGTGGTAAAGACAAATTCTAGACTAAATTATTAGGACAAGAACTGAAAATAAAGCTGCCCATATCATTACTGCCCTTATGCAAATCTATGATGCAACCACACTTGAATACTGTGTCCAGTCTGGTTATCATACTGTAGAGCTGCGGAAAGTGCAGAGCAGAACAGTTAAAATGATCAATGGCTTAAGCAAACACCCTTGATTTAAATAACAGGGATGTTCAGCTTAGGAATTGCAAGTGAAGAACTCCCCTCAGTAAATTGCAAACTGTTACATATAAATAATGAAATGGTTTAACTGATGGTATTCAATGCAGAGTTTTACTTCTGCAGAAGTAAAGTATACATTTATCATTTTAGAGAGGTAAAATTGGCAAAGTACAATGTGAAACTCTCATTACCAACAATGTTGCACTGTTTTTTAGGGACTTGTGGTCTTTTCAATAAATAAGCAGGTTCATACCATCCCCCTCTTCGAAGCCTTTATTGGCAAATGCATTTCAGTATCCCTTTTTCTTCAGTGACATGAAATGAGAAGAATATATAAGGTTAGTTCAAGTGGAGCACATAATTCATCATGTCTTTGCGACTTCTGTGACTTTTCCATGCTTTACCTTGTTAGCAGAGTCCTACCTGCTCAGGCATGTGATTTGTATCTGAAAACATCCCAAGGATAACCAGTGGCGATATCATTGTTTTCCATGAATAATAGTCCATGAGTATAATGGTGCAGATAGAATTGGATCTCACAGCCAAATACAGAGCGCCACAGACCAAGAAGCCCCACAAATGACTACCCAGAGAATGACAGATAATGAGGGAATTTATGTCAAGGAGCAACCAACCAAACATGTACATGATCATGTGGTGTTCATCATATTATTCTTACTTCAAAAATACATTGTTCTTTTCTGCTACAGAATGGTTCTTCCAAAGTAAAAGTTTTTAGCATGTGGACCCCAGAAACAAAATTGATTTTATTCCTGTAATCATGATGATTCTGCAACATAAGTGAATTTACAGTGTAACACTTTCAGTGCTCAGAATATTTATTTAATCAGTTTTCCCGAACATATTTTATTATGGCTACCTAAAGGGTCCCACAAAAGACCATTAAGTTCAGAATTTAGAATTATGTAGCTGCACCTAGTTGCATATTCTGAGAACCTGCAGTTTTGCATTGTGAATTAACTTAAATAAAATGTAACATCAAACCTTCTGCAAAGTATATGATCACTGTATTCACTATGCAGAGCTTAGGTAGTTTTGAAGAATTCATTACAAATGAATTGAATTGTGAATTGTTCATGACAGTGGCCAAGGAAGTGTAAGTAAAACACACTGGTTTCTTTGTTTTGTTGCCTGAAAAGATTTCTTAGCATGGAGAGCAAGTGTGGTGTAATGGCACGACTGTTGGATTGATACTTGGGAAATGTGGATTCTAGACCTGACTTAGCCATGAAATGCAATTCTGGACCAGTCCTTCACTCTCAGCCTAATCTTCCTCACAGGAGGATGTTGTGAATATGTAATGGAGAGGAAAGGGTCTATGTAAGCTGCCTTGGGTTCCTTGAAAGAGGAAAAAAGACTGATTACAAATAACCTAACTTCCTTCACTGGGTCGTTGTGAGGATCAAATGGAGGCAGGAGGACCATGTACAGAACCTTGAATTCCTTTGAAGAAGCATGAGATCAAAAGCAGAATACATAAATATAATCATGTATAATGCATGATACATCGTGTCACATTAATTTTCATAGAGATCACACTACATTGCCCACTATTTGAAACATTAATGGCTTACTTAATTTGCAGTAAAATGATTCTATATTCCTAGTTCTGCACTGTGCAACTTAAATTTAAATTCTCTAGTTTAACTGATCTCCAGAAGTCCTTGGAGTAAAATGGATAAGCTAATGAATAAGATGAGACCAGCTTCTCTCATGTACTCTGCTGATTAGAAGAGACTGCCCACTATCTCAGACTGGCCCCTGGTCAGGAAAACTGTCAGGCTGGACCTGTTGAGAGTAGAATGCAGATTAAATCTTAGAGCATTCCCATTGAAATCAAGTCATGACCATCTTAAGTCCCTAACGATGACTCCACCTGGCTCCATTTCTGGGATCAACTTGCTAAGTCAATTTCTCATATTATTTCTGAGCTTTCCAGGATTTAAAGGAGAATTGAATGAATGTAAATGAATAATTCAGGTCTTTCATCTGTACAGATCGCCCAGGCCTCGTCAGTGTTGAGCGAATAGAAAAGTGTCAAGAGGGCTTCCTCCTGGCGTTTGAACACTACATTAATTACAGAAAGCATCACATTGCACATTTTTGGCCAAAACTGCTGATGAAAGTGACGGACCTACGAATGATTGGAGCCTGCCACGCTAGCCGCTTCCTGCACATGAAGGTGGAATGCCCAACAGAACTGTTTCCCCCTTTGTTCTTGGAAGTTTTTGAGGATTAAAAAGACTGGAAAGGTTCTCAGAATTCCTATAGCACTACTGGGTGTCATTTCATTCCATTGCCTAGTCTTTTTTTATTTTTTTATAACTTTTTGGTCCATTCCCATTTTGTTCCACCTTGTTTTTGTTTGGAGGATTATGTTCAATAGGCATGAATGATTATGTCCCTACAATGCGGGTACTTGTGACAATTGCGTTATTTTTGTGTCTTGCAGTCCTTCTGACGTGAATTCTTTGAGAATTTGACATTGAGAATATAAGTGAATCAGTTTCATTCACCAGCACTCAGGTGATCACAAGCTCACACTCATTGCTGTTTGGAGATAGACTAGGAAATAAGCTGAAGAGTCAGGAAAATAAATTGATCATTATATTTTTAAAATTCTGCCATATTTTATACAGTATTAACTCAATTTTCAGGAGATGTGTCCTCTTTGTTGAGGCTTTCAGCACAATCTAGTAAGTGTTGGTCATACCTAAGTCCAGCTAAATTCAGTAGAATTTATAGTGCCCTCCTATACATGTCAGCCATATTGAATTCACTGGGATTTATTCCCGGATAAGTGTATTTAACATTGCAACATTGGCCCTGACTAACTTTCACCAGATCATATCAATAGATCTGAGTAGATATTGCCTAAGCTTAAGGAAACATATTTCCATCTTCCACTATTGCCAGAATAGTGTCACTTTTTGATGACAATATGGTATTCATATAAATAAAGAAGTTTTGTACCTTTTACATCCTCTTAAAAACCTAGTAAGTCAACGCCTTAAAATTGCTCCAAAATGTGGGCAAAATCCCCCTTTTTTGCTTTTCTTTCCCTTCGTTTGACTGGGTTATGCGTGTGCAAGTATGAGAACTGGAATGCGAACTGCCAATTTGATTCTACACTTCTAAAACCAATTTAATTTCATGTAACAAAGTGAGGAAAGATGCCACATTCATTATCCAGACTTCATTCTATAACCTAATGACTTTGGCTTGAATCTTGTCATGTCTTGTATGTGCAGAGGCTCTGATAGGCACACTGAGAATTCTGTCCTTTAAGGACTGCCACATTCATTTCCATAGGGGGAGCAGGCCTATAGGCACATGAAGTTCGGAATAAGGCAGTTGCCAAGAGTCCATTGTGCATTCCAAACACTTTTCAGGTCTCTGGCTTGGGTGATTTGGGAAGACCAAGATTTTTCTCTGAAAACTCAAAAATGTAAAATACTGGAAAAGCACTCACAAAAAGTAAAACTACGATCGTGTTGTTTTTGTTCTGAATGACACTGTAGCAGGGGTGGTCATCCAGTGGCTTGCAGCCTTCTCTGTAGTTTCCCCTGTGCCCCAAGCTGCACTGAAATCGCTGCCAGATTTGGGTGGTGTGGCAGTGGTGAAATTCAGTTTTCGTTTTACAGCAAGGTTTGTGGGGACCACGCACCTTCTTTTAAAGAAAATTCACACCACACTCTCCTGGAGCTTCTGAAGCGTGATAATGCCTTAAAACAACATGTGTGTTTTTTCACATGCCTTGTTTTAAAATTAAAATGTGGCTATTTTGTTGTCACTGAATTGCTACTGAATTGCTGCTGAATTTTGGTGGTGGCATCAGCAGCATTGTGTGACCCTAGACTTCTGGAGCTGGGAAGTAGGCACCTGGACTTTCAGAGTTCCCCAGCTCTACCACTTGACCCAACAATTTCAGGTCTGTTTCCAGAACCACTGCGGGGACTTCTCCATATGTGGGTTTTGTTTTGTTTTGTTGTCATTGTGGATGGAACATTGAGAGCAAGAAATGGCCATTTGAATGTTTCTCTCTAGGCCCAGTCCTGAAGATCATTTCTGATGGTGGGCCGCATTGAGGACTGGGTTCATGGAAGACAAGGGTGGCCATTGCCTCCCCTTCCTTCCATAATGAGCCAAGAATAAAATTAACCATAAGTGGAAAATAAACTTTAAAAGTTGTCTGAATCCAGACCTAACATGTTTTCCCTGCAACAGTCATTTTGATACAGTTGGTTTGTATTCTTCCGCTCCCCTAAAATCTTTTTTTCCCTGTTTGTGGCAAGATATCCTGCTGCTGTGGTCTGTTAAATAGGAGCTGTAGCCCGTGTATACATGGAGCTGTTTAATGATGATACCTCTAGGAAATCTTCTGTTTCTATCCATTCTAGTGCATGCAGCTCCTGAAAATATAAACTCTTTGCTAAGAACTGCTCCCAGTTGAGTGTGATGCATCAGAAGGGTTCTCTCATCTCTCCTTTCTCCCTCTCTCTCTCTCGCAACTCAGTTAACTTGTCCTTAAATATATTTTATGAATCCTTCCATTATTTTCTGTACATTCACATATCAATAAGTAACAAGGATAATATACCCTGTCTCTGCCTGTCTAGCAAAACTTTTGCAGGATGCAAGGACTTGTGCATTCAGTTCTATCTAATGCTAAAGGGCTTGGGGCAGCAGTTCCAAACCATACAGCAAACAGCCTTTGCAATCAAGAAAAATACCAGAAGCAGTGTGTGCTGTGGCATGGAAGGCCAAGTGTGTCAAGAAAAAAGTTCAACGTGGTGCCCTTGGATGCATCCACATAGGGTCCTTGGATCCTAACCCAGATACCTGACTCTTCAGCTTCACAGCCCTGGTGTCTTTAGAACATTCTAAACTCAGGTAGATTGTCTCTGCAGATAAAATGAGACTTTCAAAGTTTGTTTCAGTCTTGCATCACTCCATTAGCACAGGAATGGTCACGTACCAAATCATTGTCTGGCCTGCCTCATGGATGCCGATGGTCAATATGGGGCATTGAGTCCTTGAACACAATCCTGTACAGGGCTAGGTGTGCTTACACTCAGTTATCACAATGCCTTGAATAGGCCTGAGTTGTGACCCCTGGATTGTGGATCATTCTTGCAAATGTCAAAATAAGCTGGTGCGTTTTTCACAGCCTAGGAGAATGGAGGTAGGAAACTTGTGATGCATGGGCTGCATGCATCCCTTCTCTTCTTCTACTGTAGACTGTGTACTCTCTTGTCCCACCAAAATTCACAGCAGTGGCAAAAGAAAAAAAAAGAAGCCCATTGTTCCCAAATTTCAGTGGCAAACCACCATACTGGGATAAAAAGGACAAATGTGGCTTGAAAACAAGCTACATTTGTCATTTGCAATCCTCTGTATGGTGCTGCCAGAATTTAGGGGCAAACTACTTTTTTCCCCTGCTGTCAAATTTAGGAATGTGGTAGTGACAAGAGTGCAACCTGGTGGGGTGGCCAAGAGGATAGAAGTGATCCCCAGGGCCCCCAAATTTGCTTATCCCATTCTGAACCATCACTAAAGAAACAGTGATAGTCTTTGAAACCAATTCTTTAAAACTCTTAACAAAACAAAAGCCAGACTTCAGGTTGCTGTGCTGTAAAACCCATATCCATAGTTCAGCCGGAATGTAACACAGAATGTGGGGCCGGTAGTCTTGTGGAAACAAGCACACAAAGCTTTAAACAGCACAGAATCTTGCACAGTCACATTGAAGAGAAGGCCTCTTTGTAGTTTTGTACAGATGAGGGAGAAGGCAGTGCAAATCTCATGGGTTCTGTTTGGCTCATTGAGGTTTTCGCCCAAGTCATTGGGGAAACTCCTGGCTGAAGTGTGCTATGGGACTGTGCAGGCTGAAGTCAAGGGTGCTCCCTTGATATTCTGGACTAGGCTGCTAAACTGAACGTTGCCTTTCTCCACATTGCCATAAGGGAGGCAGTTCTAGGCTTTCTGTGATGACTTTTGCTTCACAAGCATCTATTGGCATAAGCATAGGCGAAGTTTTAAAGTAAACATCACATGGTCCTTCACCAGCCTAAGTCTCTTAAAAGCAGTTACCCAAAAATACAATTGGATTGACTCAGGGAATCTTCAACAAAATGTGCACATTTAAAATACAGAATTGGTCCACCATCCATCTGTCAGAGGAAAGAAAATGGTAGAGTCTAGCCTTCATAAACTTCCCTTGAAAGCCCCATTGAAATAAATGTGGCTAGTGAGAGAGTGACATTCAGGGTGTGTCCAGACCATCTACCACTACGAATATTTCCTTGTAGGCCCCACTGCATCCCACTCTTTAGTGCTTTGTCAGAAATCTAGCACCTTCTCCTTCCTTGGCCATAATGCTATCTTTGTTACCCGCTCCCCCCGCCCCCCGAAAACACAGTTGTGCTAAATTTGTGCCATCTTGGGCATGTGCCCTTTGCCCTTTGCTGAGTAAATGTTAAATCTGGCCAGTTGGATCTCTCCATGAAGTTGCCATCAAATACACCAGGGGATGTGTGGTCTGAAATCCTTATAATTTAATCCATATTTAAAGATTGAAGCCCAAATACCAGGAAGACAAAGTAGGTATGTGTACACAAAAAGCATGTAAATTTTAGCACTGGGACAATTAAGGGTCAGAACTGTGGCCTGAATGTGCTCGTGGTAGATTGTAGACCTCAGTTCAGGAGTTGTTGAAAATCTTCCACTCAAGCCCTAGAAGCCATACTTGAAAATAGACAAGATGTTGAAACCTGTGATTGGATTGCCTCTCTTTTTGGGGGGTGAAGGGCAGAGAAATTGAATTAGAGCATTCATCCTGGGCGAGGGAAGAACTGAACCATTTGCCTCATTAGGGATACTATAAGGGTTGGATGCATTTTCCCTAACAAGGCAAGCATCAGCTTGAGGCAACTGGTTTAGATCAGAGTGTGAGAAGACATGATAAAACTAGTCTGTGTTGTGTAGCTGGTCAATATCTCCCCCACCCTGTCCAATGACTGCAATACATATACATTAGCTCCCATGTAAGTGTGTATGGGATTGGAGCTTGAAAGAAGAGAAACTCAATAATGAATGCCTAACTCCTCACCTAGTTTTACCCTAATCCCACTGGAACTGATGAGGCTTCCTTCTGAGTAGCAATTGCAATCCAGAAGGCTGTATACAACGCCCCCCTTTGGTCAGAGGAAAGAAGCCTCCAGCGGGAGATAGTGGAAACATTATCATCTTCTATGAACAAAGAAAATGGGGAACGTCCACATTCATATGGCACATTTCCTGCTGTAGAACAGAACTGGAGGGCATCTCACACATGGAGTCTTGGACAGCACTTAAGGCATTTAGGATTGCTGTCCAACATTGTAGGTTATTAAGCATGTAATTTGTTTTTGCTTTTTCTTAATATTCTAAAAGCTAAGCTTTCAGTGAAAGCCTAAGGAGATGTGTTTGACTAGCAAAGTGCACCAGGCCACACAGATACTGACTTATTTCCATTAGCTGTTGATCACAACTGAACAGCCACCGAAAAATTCTGTTCCAGTATCAGTCACTCCAAGTTTAACTTTGTAACTCGATTAACTTGTCAATGATTTTCCTTTTTATTAACGCAAATCCCCCAGGCTTTTGTTTAAACAAACATAGTTCCCAGTTCTGATACAGTTGGCACATTATCTATAAAATTTTGTCAAATCATGGGCAGCATCTTTAGTAATAAATTTCACAATGATCACAGTGAAGAGACCTACACTCAGCATTTATCGTACAAGAGACAGATCTTTGGACAATGTATGACAAAACAGAGTTTCTCACTCCATAGTACTAGTCTTGTTTGTTTATGGTGCCACCTGGTTCTCAATTTTGCTTCCTGCACTAGGTGTAGTAGCAAGTGGAGTGTTTAACATAAGAGTTTATTTTTCTTTATTTAAAAAATTGTCATCTTAGTGTTTCTTGCTCTAAACAACAAGTGTTTAAGCTGCACTGGGTCTATGTTGCACCTGAGTTCTGTAATTTTTTGACAATGTGTTTTACAGTGAGATAACCATTTCTAAAAGCAACGACACTGTGCCAAAATATAGATGTTGGAATTAGACATTTGTGATTATCATCGTGCATCGTGTTAAATAATTGCTCCACTGCACAGACCGGAGCCCAGTAAGAAAGACCGAGCAAAGCAGAATCAGAAGGTAAAGCACCAATGCCATTGGTCACGAGAAGGGCACACCATTGCTGGTGACAGATACCATGCCTTGGAACTCCATCCTGTAGATGTCCTGTTGACTTGCTGCATCCGTCATAAGCAAATTGAGCCTGTCCTGTGGTTGTCAGTAAGCCCAGTGGTTGTAAGGCTAACCCTTTTTCTCTCCATCAGCAGTTCAGATCATAAATGGGGAAGACTATTAACTCTTGCTTTGCTTTAAAGCTAGTGCAGTCCATACAACAGGAATCCTAGACTGATGGGGTCAGTAATGTCTGAATTTATTTCCCTGCCCGGCTAAGGATCTCCCACCTCTGCAAGTTGCCGTGTCTCAGCCTTGCTTTACACAGTTGTTGAGAAGGTAATGAGTCAAACACTGTAAACACTGTGTGCTTGTATGTGGCATATTAACAAGCAAGTGTTCTTTGCCTGCCTTTTTGCAACACTGGAGACAGCCAGATGTGGGGGAAAGTCTGTTCTTGTGATTTTATGCAGATAACTAGATTTATCAAATATTTCCTTTTGATACTACAATATGACCTTATATAAATTTTATAGAGACACAATATTCTAGAGTGGTAGAGGTTTATTTTCCACATAAAGATTCCCCAAAAAAAGCGAACACATTTTAGAACAAGATAATGTTGCTTTTTTAAAATACACACACAGACACACACAAACACACACAAACAAATCACAAAGATTAAAAAAAAGGTTTGGCCTTTCTCACAAAGTTTTTACTGTGTTGTATAACTGTCAGCAAATGCAAAGTGTCTGCATTGCTTATGTGTATCAATCCACTTTCAACAATGTCGCCTTCTAAAGCAATATTGTGCAGGTAATAAGCTGTTTGTGACTGTCTATTTGCACAGTTTAGCTAACTTTATAAAGCTAACCCTTATTTATGCACAAGACAATCAAATGTAAATCTACATCCCAGTGTAGATGGCATTGATGTAAATTACTGAGCACAACGTAAAACATTGATAAGACACTTTAATTTCACAACTGAACTAGTATTAAATAAGATCATATCAGGGCATGAATGACACTTTTTAAAGAACATGTTATTTTTGTTTCATTATGTCTTTTTAAATTGCTCAAAATGACTTCATTTTTTTCCTCCCATAATATGAAATTATTTTCAAATTGGTTTTTAAAAGTTGTTGTTTAGATCTGGCCTATTTATGAGTTAAATTCATGCCCTGAAACTATGTTTGAATTATATGGATTTATTTGAGAGTCTAAGGATTCTGGGATAGGAATTCTGAATTTTTGTTTGTTTTGTTTTGTTCTATTTTTGTTTTGTTTTGTTTCTCT